CAAGCCGTGTGCTCAAACAAACACACAACAAGCCGTGTGCTCAAACAAACACACAACAAGCCGTGTGCTCAAACAAACACACAACAAGCCGTGTGCTCAAACAAACACACAACAAGCCGTGTGCTCAAACAAACACACAACAAGCCGTGTGCTCAAACAAACACACAGTGACATCTGGTGGCCAACTAGGGCACAGCAGCAGAACTGTGATACACGCTTCTTCTGGTTTCATTCTAATGTGTTTGGCAGAACATCTGTAAAATATTTTTAAAAAATCTATGAAACACTTGTGTGAATTTCTTTTCATGTAGAAATTAGTGTTTCAAACTAGATTTCAACAAGATGAACTAAACTTTTTATTTTATTTTATTGAAACACCAGGTCCGCTTTATTATTTTTACATAGCTTCACCGTCGCATAACATTGCAATTCACTCAGAAACAACTTGTGATGACAGAATCTCCCAAAAATAACTAAGAAATGTATATTAAAAATAAGATGACATATTTGTCATTGTATTGGCAACAGAGTATATTGTTTCCTTTAACGGAGAGATTAAAAGCATCACTCCAGTATTTTTAACAAGAAGGCAGTTCCAGAATAGGTGGGATAACATTTGTGCAGAATATACATTCAGTTCATGTTTAAACCTTTTAATAGTATATTCTTAATAGTATATTTTTTGAATGATTTGGAAAGTTATCTCTTTAAACATAATTAAATATCATTATAATTGTATTGGTTTGTTGCATATTATTTGTTACAATGATTCTGTGTTTCCAATATAATGACACAAGGGGGAGTAGTATTGCCACTACACATAGATTTTAATTCTTATGCTTGTGATATCTACACCTTCTAAACAGACAATGTCTGGATCGTGTTGTGTTTCTTTGTGTTTGTGTTCTCTGTGTTTCCTTGGTTAGACCTACTGATTAATCTCACTTGTTTGTAGTTTAGTTGTCTATGTGTAAGCAGGGATGGGCAGTATTTATGATACATACCGTTCCATCATTAATGAATAACTACACAAGAACACATGAGTAATGCAATATAAGCACTCTAGTAATCTAACAAGAAACTCTGATTAATGAATTCGTTAGTAGTGCTTAGCCAAAAGTGCAGCTAATCAGTAACTACTGTTTTTTCATACCTCCCCAAGAACTACTAAAGATCTACTGTCTACAGATTGATAATTAATATGAATAATGCATAATGTATAATTAATTCTAAAATCATGGTAACCCACTAGTTATGACTATTACCAAGTTCTTCAGAAAGAATGACTAATTATTTGGACCAGTATTCTAACGCGAATAACAGGATTAATTCTCTAGTAATGACTGAAATCAGCTTTTGAGGGCTTTGTAAGGTTCTGGTTTCATTGCATGAATGACTGCCTGACACATAATATATTATTATATTTATGATTAACAATCAAATGATTAAGTAGTTAGAAACTAGTTGCTATGAAAACAGGTGCCTCAATTGTCTTCTTATGAATGACATGTTTGTCATTGAGTCAGTGTTTCTGATGCAAAGTAGGCCCTTCGTTACCAAACACAAAGTAACTAAATTAGGATACAATTATGAGTCATTCGCAAGCTGTTAAACATTAAAGTGTTGGTTACTTTAAAACTATAACCTTCATCTGGGAGACCACAGGGATATGTGAATATCTGATCTGTTAACTGGTTGCATATGTCAGATTTATTGCATGACTCGGGCAGAGAAGAGCTGTTGCTATCAAACATCCTTTACTTAATCAGCTGAGTCAGTGTAAAGGTGAGGGATAGATCAAATAGATGAAAGGTTTGTGAAGAAAGTTCACGCTCCCTTGTAAAAGTATTTTTTAGTCATTTTAAAATACAAAAATACAGTAGTTTATTTTGATACATGGTGTGGCTGCTGTATTTTGTAGTTTATTTTGATACACTTGAAATTAAGGTATTTTAAAAATAAAATACATTTTGATGTATCTTTGCCCAAGCCTGTGTGTAAGTACTCCACATTTTGTTCATTCCTCTGTCGGTTCTCATCGTGGTTTGACGTACTTTGTGTTCGTTTCCTTCCAAGTGTTTTCCATGTTGGCTATTTAAAGTATTTCTTGCACTGGTTGTATCATGCGTCTATGATTACCCCTGACAGATAAATACTGTGAACTCCTATTTCTGGTGGATTGAGGCTTCTGAGAATTTCCAACAATTCAAAAACCACTCAAACCCCATAGAATGACATTTTTAAACCTTTCTTTTCAGGGCATTTGTTTTTCTATTATATTTAATATCTCTATTATTCCAAATGGTATATTTGTGAGGTGATAAGTAGTGTTGGTAAGCGCTCGTCTATGAAAGTTTGGCAGTTTTACATCAAAGTTGCATTTCAGTAAAAATTCTAGTCTGCCAACCTGCTGAAAAACTAACTTTTTTTTTAGATAATTTTGTATCAGCAAAGAGCACCACTGTTTACATGTTCTCTGTGTCTTGTCTAAGACTTTTATGTCACTTCGTGTTTCCTGTGGTTTTTGTAGTCAGTTTGTAGTAAGTTTGTAAATTGGTTCCACTTTATTTAGCCTTCCCAGGTGTGTCTTGTCTTGTTAAACTTGTTAGCCCCCTGTGTGTATATATAATATATATGTGACCCTAGACCACAAAACCAGTCTTAAAGGCGCAGTAGGAGATCTTGGAAAATGCTAACTTTAGCCTGATAGGACTGAAAGCGAACGTCCCACCCTCCCTGCAATCGCCGTCCAAAGCCACGCCCCCTGAACGCATTTACGCTCACAGACCAGAGAAAACATTACTACAATAGGCTACATCAGCGGTTCCCAGTTCCAGCCCATGTTCCGAAGTGAGGTAAACTTCAACGGATTTCCCCCGCTCAGGGAGGAGGGAG